TTAAAGGGGAGTGCAGCCCGAGACTGGCTGTCCTAGCCGGGCAGTGGTCTCAAAGCAGCCTGGCACCATGTGGCAGTGGAAGCAGGGCCACCGGAGAGGGGATAGGACATGCCCTGTCCCCCATATTTCATCAGGGTGCCAGCTGCACCCCGTGTGGTGCAGGGAGGGGGTCCTGGCCGTGGCAATGTAGCTGGGTGCCTGTGGGGCGCTGTGGCTCGGTGCAGGGGGATGTGGTGTGGCTGAAATGCGGTGCGTGCGTGCGATGCCTTGGGGCGGGAAGGACAGGGAGGAGGTAGGGTGGAGGCAGCAGCCCTTGCAGGACATCTCTCTCCTCCCATGCTGTTAGGCACTGTCTCAGCGTGACTCATGCCTGAGCTGGCAGTGGGCTTCCCGGGGACGTCCCTGCCAGCATGGGCTGCTGACCACCCTGCTGAGCTCAGCGGTACCCTTGCAGCAGCGTGCTGGAGGCGCTCCCCCAGCCTGCGGTGGGGCTGCCTGCAGGTGGGGTGACCCCGGGACCAAGGGTGGCAGTGGGGAGCATCAGCGGGACGAGTACTCCCACCGGGAAGGGAGGCTGGAGCCAGGCTGGGTCGTAAAGCAATCCCAGTTGAACCATGAACTGTGCCTCCGGGCACAGCTTGCTGCCTCTCCTCCTGCACCCACGGGTGGGCTCCGGTGTCAACAGGGCCCCGTTTGCGCCAGCGGGAGGGTGAGGGGTGCCCTGCACTTCGGGAGGCAGACACTAGGCGTCCTGGTGCTGGGTTTCACAAGCCCTCATGACCTTTGCAGCTCAGCAACGTGCCCTGGGGAGGATTGTTTCATACAAAACAGACCTTTGGATAGGCTTTTCATTTCCTTCTCAGCCAAGCACAAAGGAACAGCAAGTCCTCGCTCCTAATAAAATGACAACAGTCAGCGATGCAGATGGGCTGGCTCTCCGCGGTGAGCCCAGCCACGTCCCGCACCCACGCCAGTCCTGAGCTCCTGCAAGAGGGGGGGTTACAACCCTACAGCTCCCCCCTACTTAACCTCATACCCCAAACTTCCCCACAGGCAGAAGACGCTGCCCAAGGGTTGACTTTTACACTCCCTTGAGAGAAAGAGACCTGTGCTCGGAGAGGGTGAGCCCTGGTGGTCAGCGCCCCTTGAGACTTTATATGGGTGAAACTTTATATGGGAGCGTGGTTAATTGGCAGATGCCAATCACACCTCCAGCCCCACTTAAGAGCGGGGCTCTCGGCCGCCCGCGCACCACAAGCGTGGGCAGGGAGCAGGCAGGGAGCCAGGGCGCAGCGACTCGGGGTGCAGAGGGTGCAGGGCTGCAGCGTGTGGGGTGCGCAGGGGGGTGTGGGGCGCAGTCGATGTAGGGGTGCGAAGGGTGTAGGGTGCAACTGGTGTAGGGCTGCAGGGATGCGAAGGGCGCCGGGGCGCAGGTGGAGGGATTGCAGGGGGGTGTAGGGGTTGCAAAGGGGTGCGGGATGCAAGGGG